ATGGCCATCTTACACACAGATCTATGCAGTGCTAGTGTAACAGGCTTCCTGCACAGAAAAAAATAAGGAATCACATATAGTTTTGCACTGCGGGTTTTGGAAGAATTGCAGTGAAACTGAATGTTCACTTTTTGTCTAAACTCATAGCTGCACGTGATATGGCAAAGCGTCTGTCACTAATGGATGGGTGACAGTGAAGCAGTGCCTTTAATAATAATTCCAGAGTCATACTTATCTCACAGTTCAAGAGAAAAATGACAGTTTATCAGGAAAAAGAAGGACCTGTTTCAGGGGGGCAAGGTTCGAGTCTGTGTGTGGAGCTGGCATGTTCTCCCTGTGTCATCATGGGGTTTCATTCATATACTTTGTTTCCCCTAAAGTCTGTAAATATGCTGAGGTTAATTAGAATTACCATGGCGTGTGTGTGTCTCTGTGTGTGTCTGTGTGTGTCCTGTGATTGGTTGACACCCCATCCTCTGTTGCTCTCAGCCTTGTGCCCGAAGCCTCTACAATAGGCTCAGGACCCCCTGTGACCCTCAACAGGATTAGTGAGTATTAAAAATAAATAAATAAATAATAATGGATGGCTCTTCTGTTTAAAAGGAGGTAAGGATGTGTCAATCATACAGTGTCATTAGAGATACTGGCTGTTTTATAATGATCTGGCTTGTTAAAAGTAACTTTTTATCCTAGTAAAATAGTTATTTTTGATAAAAAACTGTGGTCTGCCGAATTTAGGTGCACATAATTATCCCTTAAATTGCTGCAACAACTTTACTGGAACGTTGTCATCTATTTGCTGTCAGCAGATTTAAAAAGTAAAAAAGGAAAAACATTCAGAAGATCTGTGACCCATCCTGACAGTCTGTGGACTCACAGAGCACCATCCAAAGGTTCATGTCACTCAGGTTCATGTCACTCAGCGTGCGATCATCAAACTCAAAATAGCAAAAGAAAAGACCCAGTGCTTCAGGGACATTAAGACAAAGATGCTTTTCTCCCATTTGTGTAAGTCTGCTGTCTCCCGTCTAATATGCCACAGATCAAATGCATTATAGAGCAACTCACATTAACAGTCTGCAAATGAACAGGGGGAGAGCAGATCCCTCCGCGTTGAGGTGAGGCAGAGACTCTCCCAGCAGCTCCACCTAAACAGTGCCAGTCCGTTAACGTCTCCGGAAAGCTCCTGGAACAGTGTTAGGCTTCAGCTGCAACTAATTCGGTTGCTGAGGTTTGCACTCACTGGTTTGGGGGAGCATTTACCTCAAAAACCACACGGCTCCAGGAAAATCAACCCCCGCTCACCAAAAAGTGCTGCTTATTCTCAAATAATTGCCTGATTAGTACTGGAATCCTATCGCCAATGATGAGAATTTGCCCAAAAAAACTCAAAGAAAAAAAAAAAAAAGTTCCTTAAATGACAAATGACCTGCTGTAGGAAACTGATCTGAGCAGTTTTTCTAAAGTAAAAAGAATCTTACACCTAGCTAGTCTACAACAGGGCGATGCACTATCAAGAAGCAATTTCATAACTTAGCGTAATGTATAGATTCAGTTAAAGTGGACCTTCATGCATAAGAACATGCAGAGATCGGTAATGCAGGAGAACCAGTTCTAGACCTGATACTCCAGAGCTAATGGAAGCCTCTTTAAAACGACTTATAGGCTGATTTATGAAAGAGAGTCGCTGCGTGAGCAAAGGTTAAACTTTTTCAGCTCTATTTTGCATACAGGTATGAGAATCGGTGATGCTTGTCTCCTGCATTGGGGTTTAAGTTAGCTGTTCTGACACAGCCCGGCTCTCTAGTGTAATGACATTTCCATACAATAACGAAATGCTCCACGTGTGTTAAAAAGACATTTCCTCAGACATTTCCATACCATATGCTTGAAGGATGACCTTTCGTTAAGGTTCCTGGCCATCTTGCAAAGCTCGTGAATATATAAGGGGGGGGGGGGGTCTCAGCCATTACGTAACGGCTATGTGTGATCTACTTGCAGACGACACCAAGGTGGTTGGTGAAGCAGATACTAAATTAGCAGCACAGAGGCTAAAACAGGATCTTGATTTAATTAGCGACTGGGCTGATACCTGGCAGATGAAATTTAACGTAGATAAATGTAAGGCAATCCATGCAGGGAGCAGAAATATAAAGTAGAGATATTTTTTGGGTTCCACTGAAATAAAGGTAGCTGATTAATTATGAGAAAGACCTCGATGTGTATGTTGATGCTTCCATGTCCCTTATGTTCTTATGAGGTGCGTGGAGGGTTAGGGCCCAGTGAAGATCCATCTGTCGGATGCATAACCAGCAGTTCTGCAAAGAATCCTGCTGCTCTAGAACCTCTATGACACTCCATCTTTTAGTCTGCCTGTGTCTCAATGCTTATTCTCACCCAAAGCTTTACATTAATATCATCCTCATGCACTCATATAATTTTTCTGCCAAATCTCTTTGTTTTATACATACAGCATATCAATAAATGTTTGTATATGCTTTCCCAGTTTGGTACAGCCAATTATCTTGTTTCTAATAGGTATCCCTCTCATTGCATGGAAGTCTTGCCAAATCCTGAGTGATGGAAACATGGCATGGTTCCTTTGACGTGGGTTCTTTCCTTTCACTCTATGTCAAGCCATTCTTCACTGAACATTACAGCCCACCCGCAGCCCCGCTGGCACCCGGCTGACAGTAGGTGTCGCTGTAGAGCAATGAGAAGTACTAAGCCACCTAGCTTGTTTTCCTCATCAAAGATGTCTAATACAGCACAGTGGGATTTTGAAAATCGATTCCATTGGCATTAAATACTCGCTGTTATCCTCCAGAATTGCTCTTTTTATAGAGTCACGGTCAGCAGTAAAAATGAAAAGACAAATTGACCATTAAATGTTGTTTGAGGTTTTATAAATTGACTATTAGATTATTTCATACAAAACCATATCAGTACAATCATTGATACATGGCTGGTTACAAATAAATGCTGCTCTGAAACTGGAGGGTAGAAAATCTGCTACCAGAAGTACCACTCATAAGAACCAAGGGTGTAATTGGTGACAGCATCTCATTCAGAGACATTTCTCCATGCACTAGTCCACCAGCAGCACACCCATCGCTCAGAAAGTGTCTGCAGTGAGACCTCTTAGCTCCACTTTGATATCTGTTCGTGCGATGGAGAGGGACATGTTCTCTACACCTCAAGGAATAGTACATGTCCAGTAGCGAGCCAAGGCTCCTCAACGTGCCAAACAATGCAGATGTTACGTCATGGAAAATGAATGCGACCACCGTTTCACACATCAAACTGCCCTCCCGGTAATACGGATTTGTATGGGAACACACATTTTTTAGAAAGTCTTTTAATGTTTTGCGAACACTATGTACCTCAGAATCGCCAGCCTTTGTTAATTATCTCCATAAGCACAGAAAATAAAAAGTAACAGGTAATAAAAGTATGGTGGACCCACAATGAAACCGACAACAACAACAATAATAATAAGAAGAAGAAGTAAGATTATTTATTAATATTACAACCACCTATTTAATACACAAAAGCAACAAGTCTACAGCAACGGAAACTCGGAAAGAATCGCTTAAATACGGGTTGCTTCTATTACAATTACTGATGATTCAGAAAAATGATTTACTCCTCTGTGCCCAGTCTAATTGCCGTGTGACGCTGCAGTAATTTCGGTCTAAATGCTTCCTGCGCAGACGCAGCATTTTCGTAAGGTATTTTTACTGAAAAAATAGTGGGATTTTTTGTGAGGGGCCACGAACGATGTTTTCTTTTAATAATGCCTCCAGGCACTTCTCAGTGCTGCCACTGCAAGGGTACACTACCGAGCGGAGTAAACACTGGAAATCACCGGAGAGCGTCCACAGGTGAATCCACAACAGAACGCCGGGGCAATTATTCCTTGCTGTGCTTGAGGACCTTCACAGGTATCGACACTTTTTTTGTGCACATATAAATTATTACTGTCACTACTACCGCTACAGTATCCCACAAGGTCTCATTTGCAGTTAAAAAGACACCTACACTTGCAATCAAAATCTTTATCACATTGAAATGAACCTATTAATAATGCAAATTACATCAAAGTATCACTGCTTTCTTTTTACTGAAAAAACACACTAGAACAAATAATTGGCCTGATATACAACTACAAAAAAACTACGTAATCATCCGAGGCCAACTTATTCAACGCATGACTAAAGTTGGCTCATTGGGTCTAATATCATTTTAAGTGTCGCTGCAGGACCCGATAGCGACATGTTGTTTGTCACCTGTCTTATTTGTAAATTCTGTTACAAATGCAAATGAGGCACATTTCAATGTGCATATAATCCTTTTCACAGCCGCAGAAGATAAACAGTGTATGGGATTCGACATCGAGCATCGGCGACATCCGCGCGCCATCACATTGGCCGCTACTCTCCAAATCCATGTCAAAAAGCACATCTAACGCCAAATGCCCAGCTTGCAAGTTTGTGAACTAGTGCCGCCAATTTGACGAAAGCAGCAGATATTAATATAAAAGCGCGCACCTGTACCAATCGAGTCCCTTCTCGTAGTTCCTGTCAAAAAAATGGGGCTCGTTTCCCACTGCCCTGACGTCGGGATGGACCCTTAAAGCCTCCAGCAATGCCCTGGTACCTCCTTTCTTAACCCCTATTATGATCGCTTGGGGCAGCTTTTTCTGGCCGTAATCCGAGGTGCAGTTGACCCGTCGGCTCAGATCGTCGTCGGTGGTGCTTGATTCCTGGTGCTCTGGCTCCGAGGCTGCACCCTGACCCCCTGCCGCAGTCTTGGTCGGAACAGCCTGACTGCTGTCCCACTCCGTCGTCCTTTCTCCGATTTCCATGTTAACCGCATGGTTGACGGTGGAGACCTTGTCATCTCCGGCCGTGGGATCAGTGACGGTCTTCTGCACTGGATCCTCTGCGAAGTATCCCTGGGAGGTGGTGGAGTAAAGTTTCTCTCTTAATGTGATGAAAGTTGTCTCTTCGGTCACCTGCCCGGTTTGATACACGTAGCTTTCTTGAAAGGGAAACTGCAGCGTGTTATAACAGCTCATCAAACAATAAAACAGGTAAGTAACAGTAAGAGAGAGGGTGAACATGAACAATATCTTCCGAGGCACTTTAGAGGTAAAAAATGAAGTAGGGGACCAAAATGCCATCTCTGACAGCAGTGATCCTCACAGAGAAATGGCCTGACATGTTTTGACTGAAAGTCTCGCATGGACACTCAACAATAATAATCTGTCCGCATTCTAAGCACCGCTCCTGCCGAAAACTGATCCACTCACCTTAAAAACAAGCCGCAAATTGCACAGGAAAACAGAATGAGAAGTGAAAAGGGGTCGTAGATTAAAAAAAAAGAAGAAGAAAAGTCAGTCGTCACAGTTTCTTGAATAGTGGTTTCTTATTCCTGTACAGCCTCTCACAATTTATGAAGACGGGACCCTAAGATTCAAAAGGCATCTTGCATACATTCTTCCACACGGGCAGCCCTGCTTGCAGAGAGCCAGAGCATCCAAGACGTGCGCTTCACATTTTATAGGGAAAAAAATAAATATATTACCAATTTCCAAAGTCTTTCAAGTGGCGTACAAGTCACGTCTTCATATGCCGTAAGTCCCGGGCAATTCTTTAAAGTCCCATCCCCACAACCACTGTCATGCACAACATTGGTTTCCAAATGACCAAATTCCGAATTGAATGAGTCTTAATCCAAACACGGCGTTGAAATTCTAATAGAGTGCCATCACCCCTCTGGTGATCCGCTAACTTTGTGTGGATGAAAGTGAACGGCTTGAGCATTAATATTCATTGACTTCTTTCAGGATTGCCTGCTACCCTAACAGCTTTTGTCGATTGGTGGACACGATATGCGCATCAGTCGGAACACAAGCGGACGCGCTCAGCCGGAGCGGTGCTGACACGTTACGGCGGCGGTGAAGGCGCCCCCCCTTTTACTCACATTTAATAAAACTTGGACGGGGTTAATCACAAGTGCCTGTACAAAACGTCTTTGGGTTGCTTTCCGATCGCTTTTACCTTAAACAAAACGTTAAACACACCTAAAGACGTAAAGGTACACGCGATGCTGCTTGTTTGAGGTTAAAATGCATGTTATCGCGTGTGCACATTATTCCTTTGATATAACCTTTTATAAATAATCATGTTGATTGAATATGATCAATTAATACAGTTCAATACATGATACGTAGTTCGTGACGATAATAATGGTGAGAATAATGATAGGTGGAGTACTGTTATAAACAAACAAACAAAAAACGGAATAAGGAATCGTTTTCTTCAACTGCTGCTTTTAAGTATCGTTCTGCCCTCTGCTGGCATCGTGTGGAACTATTTTATTTTACTGTATTTTATTTTATCTTATCTATGCAATCACTTAAATGTATTTAAATCGAGTGTCTGTAAAACATGTTCATTCCAGTCTTTACTTTAGTAATAAAGTGGCTTATGTATGTGGATATAACGTAGCAGTCAATTTTCAGTAATTATATTCATTTCCATTGCAAGAATCAAAACCTTGAAACACACACTAAAGAAACTTAATACACTTGAATTACATAACAAGTAACATTTTCCAACATTTTAATGCAGCTTATTATTTTAAAAAATCATGTGCAATATAGGCGTCATCGACTGAGAGAAGTGAGTCTTCAAAAAGAAATTAATTACTGGAGCAGACACTGCAGTGGATGTTTGATGAAGTTTGGCGGGATATATTTAGAGCACCTCCTGGTGGATTAATTGGGGGCTCATGTAATGGCAAACGAAGACAAACAGCGTGGGCTGCAACTCAGCTGTCGCGGATCAGACGAAACGGCTAAAATCGGCACACTCTGCTCGAGAGAGTATCTCTGTACCACGGAATATATACAGGCCCAATAAGCAATACGATTTTCAAACAGCAAAATTCAGAGTTAATTCCAAGGGATTAGTCTAGCAGGCGAGGTTGCAGACAAGCCTTTCGCTATGCTTTGCTTCCAGGATGCAGATCACAGAAGTATATTTTAATGCAACCATTGGTGCTTCGAATTCTAATGTGCAGATGCGTGTTTTTTTCTGAACTATGTGTTTGAGTTCGTTAAATGCTGTTGTTTATAATAATTATATAACTATAGTGCGCACGAGGAATACCTGATTATGGTAAAATAAAAGGTGAAAATTATTGCTGCTATGAATTACCGCTTGACATGAGTTACAGGGTACCTCCCTAATTAAGTAGACAACAAATGCGTCGTTCTTTCTGGCAACGCTGTCGCACTGTGGTTGTGATAACAAGGTATTTCCTTTTCAGGTTATATTTAACACCAACTTGCCGTTTTTTTTTTTTTTTCCTGAAGTGTTGGAAATAAAACAAAAGACCATTTAACTGCATGCTGCAGCATTATCAAATAGTTCTCTCCCTTGATCTTCTTTTCTATCTCTACTTTGGACGTTAGGAAATAACACAAAACAGATATAATAAATATTTTTCATTTAAGTATATTTTTTATTATAACTGACAATCCACAATTACCATGACACACACCCTTTACCAGAGATACCGCTGACCTTGGCATAATGTTCCTCTTGGTGTTCTAATCCTGACTGGAATAAGCTTCTGTTCAGTTCTTGGGATGGTATGGAATGAGATGGCTTTGTACTGCCATGTTCCCTGGTCAGTGTCAGCTGGGGCTAGCCCCAGGACACAGGGCAGGGGACACCCTGGACGGGATGCCAGTCCATCACAGGACACAGGGCAGGGGACACCCTGGATGGGATGCCGGTCCATCACAGGACACGGGGCAGGGGACACCCTGGATGGGATGCCAGTCCATCACAGGGCACGGGGCAGGGGACACCCTGGATGGGATGCCGGTCCATCACAGGACACCGGGCAGGGGACTGTGGGCTCCACTGACTGATGCCCCAAAGTGGACCTGGTGCCCTGTGCTGCCAGATTAGCTCCCTCTGATCTGGATGGATGGATGATATAAGCTAATGTAAACCTTTGCAATTATGTGCAATGGCACAAAAAATAAACATCAGTAGGTGACAACAAAAGTCACATGTGTTGTACAGTAGCTAGGTTACCTTATACAACAAAGAAAGCACAAAAACATCTTCATGAATTTCTAAAAATCTTTCACCAGTTTATAGTGCTGGACACTTTAGTGGAGAAATGCAGGTTTGGGTCCCTGTTCTTACCACACTGTAACTTTCTGATGGAAAGAAAAGGTTTCGGCTTGTAAACACAAATCATAAATGTGTAACTTGGTTGTATCTATGTTTGATAAATGTACATTTGGCAGTGCATTATCCGTCCATCCATCTTCTGTAACTGCTTGTTCAATTCATGGTTGCAGGGGGTCTGGAACCTACGGGCACAAGGCAGGGATCAACCCAGGATGGGGCACCAACCCATTGCAGGGCACACTCACACACCAGTCTGTCACACAGCACAGCTACGCGCAGTGCGGTAACTGCAGTTAGCCGTAGCATGTTTTTGGACTGTGGGGAGAAACCCAGAAGAAACCCCACCAAATTAAAAATATAACAATATTTCAGTGAATTGTTTCTTTTTGATCTAAACTTCATGAGAATATCATTTTATGTGTATGTAAGACATTGTTTCCTCCTACATGGACTGTTGATAACCTGTTTAATTAAAAGTGATGCTTAAAGTTTTATGGTGGCTTCTGGGAACGTCGACTATAGGTACAGAATGGAAAGGCTCAGAGCTCAGAAATGCAAATCTTCTGATATACAGTGTGAGAAAAAGCACAGACACTGGAATCAGGTACATGAACTGAAGGCACAGTATACGGTAAGCTTCTAAGTTAACAAATACATATATTAAGTGGTCACGCACACACAGCACAAATTGCCAAATCCTCCTCTGAATTCAGCCCACTGACCCCACTTATCCCAGACAATCAGTCCAGTCAGGATGAGCTGGCTATCATTAATAGGATATCGTTAACTGGCTATCATTAATAGGATATCGTTAACTGGCTATCATTAATAGGATATCGTTAACTGGCTATCATTAATAGGATATC